GCCACCCAAGCCACACAGTCAATCCTAAATAAGGGACAATTCTTTTAAATCGAATCTTTGCTAAGTAACAGACTGATCTGCTCTCAGCGATCATTTTTACGGTACCACACTCGACCAGAGCTTTGGGCTTGTCTCACTCACTGAACTTGAGGCCGCAGACCGTTCGTCTGACTTTAGGGGAAGGGGAAGGGGACGATGTGCCGCCCGGATCAGTCCTTCCCCCAAACCACCCAAACCACCCAAACCACCCAAACCAGGGGCTTTGCAGCCACCCTGAGTGTCCAACACGGAGCCACGTGGGAGGGGGCTAACTCCTCCCAAACCCCTCGGACAGGAGGAACCACGGTGTCGCCCAGCCGATAGTTTATCAACATTCAACTTACCTGCTTCTTTAATTTTCAGATCAACAAGTGTTACAGGCAGCCGATGTCAAGGCAAAGCTTTGGCACCTTTCTTTACAAACATGCTATATTCCATTTTCAAAAAGTCTGGTACGGGTTCAAATACTTAAGGAAATACCCAACTGACTCCTATAGACCAGCGATTTTCGACCTTTTCCCTCTCATGGCACACACAAACTAATCACTAAAATTCTGCGGCACGTTAAAAATATGATTTTTTCCTCTGCCGTGACAAAAAAAAAGTATAATTTTGACTCATTCAGACCGGACGGCTGCTGTCATTTTTTCTACCCGACAGTCCAAGGGGGGAGAGGTCAGCGCCCCGACTGCACGGCCAGGTGGCGCTAGTTCCGGAAACCCCTGCGGCGCACCGGCTGGAAACCCCTGCTGTGGAGCGGCGTGAGAAGCTGCCAGCCAGGAAAGACCACTGTTCGTGAGCAGGAATTAAAACGAGTCCCCATGAGCCACCACTAGCTGTTTAAACGGGGTTAATTTCTTCTCCCATTTCAATTTTCAAAAACTGCAACATACGGTGACAATTCTTACAAACATCACCTGGGATTACTCAGAATCAGAGAGCAGCTCTTGAGACCCTGAAAATCACACCCGAGAACGGACTGTAAAGACAGCGGTGTTTTTGGATGACGGGCAGTGATCCCGTCTGGGACAGGAAGAGCGGACGGCAGAGTCGGTGAACAGGGCCACACCGGAACCGGAAGTCCCGGGCCGTCCACCCACACCTGCTGCTCCGCCGGAAACTTAATATCCCAAGATTCGGGCCGGGGTGGAGAAAATGTTCTGGAAAATTCCCTTCCAGAACTTTCAATGGATACTTTTCAAAATCCACCGCACCTCCGAGTCCCACGCTTCTCCGTCCCCGGTTCAGACAATACGCTTCACCATAATCCCGGCCCTTTTTCCCCGGTAGATCTTCACTGCAGCAGCTTCAGAGTCCAACGCGGATTAATCCCAACTCTGCCACTTCCCAGGCTCCGTGACCCCGGGCAGCTCGCGTCCGGCCTGCTGCCGCCTCCCAGGGTCCTGTGCTTCCGCGCCTTCCCTGCCTTTGAGGACAGCGCTGGGACGACAGGCCACGGTCCGAGCCGAAGCATGGAGAACAGCAGACCCGCAACAGAGGGAAAGCAGAGCGGGCGGCAGAGTGAACAAACACCGGCCCAAAGGTCAGCGGGCTGCAGCTTGCTGGCTGGTACCCGTAGCCTCTACTACATCTGCCCATCTCCTAGCCTCAGTCTCCTCATCTATAAAATGGGGTAACTCCATGCCCCACAGATTTATTACGAAGGTGAAAGGAGATCTAACTGGTGAAATGAAGTCCAGTCCCACAGGGCCAGGGGCAGTGTGGATATTCTGCCTTTTCCTTGTTGATGTCCTCTGCCCCACCCTTCCCCGTAACACTCCTCTGAGAAACACCTGCAACAGAGAAAGCTTAGGGAAAGAATGCAGGAACAATTTGAGATGCCACTCAGTATAAAAACACCCGTTTGTTGACCTAAGGGTTACAGAGTTTTATCCTCTTTAACCGTTTTATTTTACATACATAATCTCACTTAATCTTTACAAAAATCCCACAAGCTAAGTACAATCATCCTGCTTTGACAGATAAAGAAACTAAGACTCAGAGAGATTAAATAACCATGCTAGCATAGGCGGGAGCCTGGGCTCACACCCAGGTTTCTAGACGTCCGAAGGCCAGGACCTTGACCACCAGAGGTAGCCTCTGGCCGGGAGCCTCTGCCTCTCCTGCCCATGACCTGCACTTGCGTACACGGAGCTGCAATATACGGGACAGTCTGTCTTCTTTAACACTGATACACACACATGACATTGTGCCATACTTACCTTTGTGCAACTGACTCTTTGACTAAACATGGTAGCTTTCTGAAATTTAGTCACATAAATACATCCATTCATTTTAACCACAATTTCGTTTATCCAGTCTGCTACTAACAGAACAAGATCTCCTCTTGCCAGTGTTTCATCGTTCCAAGCAACGCTGCACAAAACCTGCTTACGGGTCTCCTAACTCACATGCAGGCGTCTGTCTAGACTGAGGGGTGACACACTACGGCCTCTGGGCCAAATCTGGTCCGCCTCCTGTTTTTGTGAGTGAAGTCTGATCGGAACCTGGTGGCCCTTATTCATTTACGCATTATCCCTGACTGCTCTCCGGCCGCGGCCGAGCTGAATAATGGCCACAGACACTGCACAGTCCATGAAGCCTGGAAGTATCTACTCCGTGGCCCTTCGCAGGGCGCGGGTCAGCTCCCGCTCTGGACTACGCCCTTGGGAGGGAAGCGGCAGGGTCCTCAGCTGCGCTCACCTTCAGCTCAGCTGACGTGCAGGCAGGGGGGGCTGTCAGTGTGCTCACACCCCTCCAGAGTGATGGGAACCACTGTCGACTTGCATCATCAGCGCACGACATGCCCGCTACACACACACACACATACACACACACACTCTCTCACACAACTTGTTATCCAACTTGTAAGGTTTGCCAATGTCATGGGTTTTTTACTATTGCTTAAATCCCCCGATACTGAAGAGGCTGAACAAATTTTCAAATGCGTAATACACACTCAACAATGATTAGTATAGGATAATGATTATTCATTCAAAAGACACTGTTCCCAAAGCAAGGAATACAACAGTGACCTGAATTGGCAGAAATTTAAGATGGTTCATAATGTTTTTAAGAGCATGGGAGAGAGTTTACGATGATAAACGAAAGCATTTACTTATTGAAACACTCACTGAAAGCTTGCTCTGGGTAAACAACATACGCGGCACCCAGGGAGTGGCCTGACACATGGCCCCTGCTCTCGAGAAGGCAAAATGAACACAGACACGCACGGTTATCAGCTGTGTTTTTAACCACCACCACCGTCAGATCCAAAAGCTGGCCCCAGAAGGATACCAACCCACAGCCTTCCCGTGACAACAGCCTGCCCCATACGTGAGAATGACTATGACTGATCATTTCAAACGCAGGATCCCATTCATAAACGCAGGATAACAAAACGTAGGCTTCTACAGTAAAGTGGCAGAACCTGGTGCTTCAAGGCTCCTTTGCAAACACTGTAAAACCCAACAGCGCTTGGCTCCGGGGGGTGCCAGGACTCGGGCACTCCAAGTCCCTCACAGGAACGCAGAGCGCCTACTTCACCCCCCAGGCGGTACAGGCACAGCCTCCCCATTTCTCCGCCAACGCGACCAACCTCGGCCAGGGCACAGACGCACGGAGACCAGCACCAAAGGTCGGCAGCCCTGTGCTCCGCAGGAAAGGTGCTACCTGGCAGGCAGGGCCTCTCTCCACTGCCTGGGCCAGCGAAGAGCCACAGGTCCTGCCTGGCCCCTGGCTTCATGTGCTGCAAGCCCGAGTTAGCTAGGGACCAGGAGTCACTCCCTGTCCTTCTCCCGACAAGCCTCCCCCAGCCCTGGCTCCACAAAGTCTCCCCCGGCCCTGATTTCATGCCCCTTTCTCCCACGCCACCAGATCCCAACTCAGACCAGCAACCGAGGATGAGGTTCGAGAGGCCGGTCTCTGACCCCACCAGCCTCAGACCACGGCAACCTCGTCCCCAGCGTCCACAGCACTATCTGCTCCTCCAGCCCAAGGACACCCGAGGCCCTTAAGGTACGCCCCAAAGCGCCTACCTCCCACGTACTTACTATATCCCCCTTCACCCCACTTCCCAGCCCTGCAGAGGGGGGAGTGAGGCTGCTAACCACTCCTTTCGGACGTAGCCCGAGAGAACGGGCCCAGAAACGCCTGTTTCAGCTCCGCGTGAGGATCGGGGAGCCGCTAGGACTTACCCCACTGTCCCAACTGACAACAGTACCGGGGCCCCAGGTCCTCGGGCCCTGTCCATGTCAACCACGTCCCCACCCGATTCTCTAATACAGTAATACCCCCTGCCCTGACCCCACGCAAACCCCAGACAGACCCCAGACGGTCCCGAGGAGGGGCCTGGCCCTGCCGTCCCCACCCCGCACTCGGCGGACCCTGACCTTGCCGGAGCTGGGGGTCGTCCAGCACGTTGTAGGCTGCGTAGTCCCGGACACCGTGCAGCCGCAGGATCTGCACCACCGCGTTGCTGAAGCCACACTGGGGCTGCTCCGGCGTGCCCTTGAGGAAGACCACCACCTTGTCCTTCTTCACCAGCGCGTCCAGCCGCTCCGCCGAGGCGCCGCCGCCCCCCGAGCCCGCCGCCCGCACTCCGGGACCCCGCAGGCCGCCGCTGGCCACGCCACGCCCCCAGCGAAGCAGAGCCGTCGCCGCCCGGCCCAAGGACCCACTCATCCCGCAAGCTCGCTGGAACCCTGTACGTCGGAGACCTGGGCTCGCCCCCAGAAACCTTTCCCCGCCCGCAGGGGCCCGGCCCGCCCCCACCCCCCGAGGTCCTCATTGGGCTGGCTCCAAACTGCTCTTCGTGATTGGAGAAGGCTGGCCGGCAACTACTGCAGTCCACCAATCAGGTTGCTCTCCCCTCCCCCACAGGTTAAGGGTGTTCCATACGCCGGAGCCTCATCCTGCAGCCTTACCATTGGCCCTCGCCGACCGCTTTGTTCGTTGATTGGAGGAAATGGATGTTCATCAGAGTCACCCTCCGCGGCACAGAGGAGGCGGGCAAAGACGTCTTCCCTCGGTAGGGTAGGCGTGCCCGCTGAGACCATCCGGAGGACTGGGGAAGGCACTGGGCGGGGTCCCGCCGCTCCGCGGAACGCCGGGAAGGGGTCACTTCCAGAGGAAGGTTCCGGTTCCGGTACAGGCGGTGGTTGAGTTGTCATAGCAACGTGGCTGGCAGGACCCTGGGTTTTGCGTTAGGGGTGGTAACAGGGCCGCAGAAGGCCTGGGTGGGTCTTCTCCAGCTTAGGTGAGCGACTCCGGTGCCTCCCTAAGGCCGCGGCGAAAACGGCCATTCGTGGCGGAAGCCGGACCCGGCGCTGGAGTACGGGCTTGCACGGGCTACGTCATCTGGCCCGGGGCCACGGGTCCCGGCCCTATCCTGGCGCCCTGCTGCCCACGTGAGAGCGGAGTTCCATGCCAGGCTTCCGGGTCCTCGCCTCTGGCGCGCGATTATTTCTCTACAACAGCTTTTATTTTAAAAGTTTGCACCGCGTTCTCGTCTGTGTGATCCTATCTGGGTTTGGGGGCGTTGACTCTGCACCCTACTTAAGCCCTTGGACCTGGCCCGGGGAAAGGTTTGTTGAATGGGGACCTAAGTGGGGAATTGGTTCGTTCGACACACGTTTTGTGAGCAGGTGCTGCGTGCTCCGCACGGTGCTTGCGGGAGAACTGCAGAGAGACATGGTGCCCAAACTTTATAGCCAGCGTGAGCAGTGAGATACAGGTATAAAGTAAGGCGGGGGTGCAGAGTACAGAAGGGAAGTCCCATTGCTTTTTCGCGTCTCTATTGTACTTTTTACACCATAACGTGTATTTATTAGGTGTTTATTGATTTCACTCCCAGGCACTCGATTTAATTCACTGTGCTTGGAGCGAGGCCGGTGCTCATGTTGGTGGAATGAATGATTCCGGAAGAGTGGGACTCGGTGAAGTCGTCCCGCGATCTGTAGTCTGGAGCCGCTCTGGGTTGGTGGTACCCTAGAGCACACCAGACTCGCAGAAAAAGCATACGCCGGAGGAAGCTGAGGCATGACTGCTCGAGAGCCAGCCGTCCCATGTGCAATTTTCCTCTGATAGTTCTGGGTACTGTTGCCACGGCGATGATGACTTTCCCATGTCATTATCTATCCACAACAGTAAGAGAAGCTTTGCAGCCAAGATATTGTTTAACAGATGGAGTGCTTTCTGTTGGACACTATGCACTGCTACAAATTATTTTGTTTAAACCTTAGGTATTTTAAAAATTGGTTCCGGGGATGACCTGTTTATGCTTTGGAGGTACCCAAATTTAAAATCAGAAAATTAGTGCATGTGCTGTCAGCAAATGAATCTTGGAAATAATCCTTCAGCATGAAACTCAGTAAACTGAAAATAAACTCCAGATGTTACCTGGAAATTCTCCTCAGTGACATAGTTCCTATTGATGTTTGGTGGTTTTCTAATGTGAGGCCCAACATTGATCAGTTTCTTAAAGAGTCTTCTTTTTTCCACCCAGATTCTTTGATTCCAGGTAAATCAGAGAAACAGGCATCAAGAACAGAAGAATGAGGTCTGTCTGGAAAAAGCCCAGCCACTGTTAATATAGTGAGAACTGTTAGCGTGACATCGCTGTAACCTGGCAGCCAAGGAGAGTGGCCTAGAATGTGCATGAATGAACAATGACAACCTCACTGCACTAGTCAGTGGGGGTGGTAGACACCGTTGAGTGAGCATGTGTGCTGTGTGGTCATCACATGCAAAATGACTGAGTGAGTAGAACAACGAATCTGCATCAAATTTTGCATTAGGCTTGAACATTCTCCTGCAGAAACTATTCAGATGATTCAGGAGGCTTTGGGGGATGACGCAGTGAGTGCAGAGCAAGTAAAAGTGCGGCACAAATGTGTCGAGGATGATTGAGATTCTGTTGAAAGTGATCCACGTTCTGGAAGGCCTGCAACAAGCAGAGCACCTGAGAATGTTGAACGTGTACAGGCCTCAATCAACAAAGATCGACAACCCAGGTAACTCTGCCCCCTACAGCCCAGATTTGGTACCCCAGGACTTCTGGCTTTTCCCAAAACTAAAATCACCTTTGAAAGGGAAGAGATTTCAGACTGTCAATGAGATTCAGGAAAATACAACAGGGCGGCTGATGGCGATTCCAACAAAGGGTTTTGCCGAGTGTTTTGAACAGTGGAAGAGATGCTGGGAGAACTGTGTGGGGTCCCAAGGTGCCTGCTTTGAAGGGGGTTGAGGTGTCATTGTCCTGTGTACAATGTTTCTTGTGTCTTCTTCAATAACTGTCCCTCTTTCACAGTGCCTGGCTGGGAACTTTCTGGGCGGGCCCCCTGGCTCATAGGAGACGCCGGGGTGCTGGGGCGGGGCTGCTGTGTCAGAAGCTCAGCCTGCAGGGCAGCAGCAGAGAACACGTGGTTTCCGAAACCACCTTTCACTCGTGCTACAGTAAGTTGATCCTTTTAGAATAAAAGGCAGTTTGTTCCTGAAATTGTAAGTTGTCCATTGCCTGCTCAGCTGTCTACTTCGGCCTTTGCGTTGACTGGAGGAGGGAGGAGAATTTGCACACTGGTGTTCTGAGGACCCCGAGGCACGGAGCAGTAATGATGGCCCTTATCTAGGTGGTGACGTTGGCTTCGGGAGGGCGGTTGTCTTTCTCGGTTGTGTCACTGAGTTGGGAACACCGCTGTCGTTAAAGACTCAGAGTAACCCTTGAGCGGGGAGGACACGGAGCCCGTGTCTCTCAAGCGTGAGGTGGAGCGGCTGCGCACAGCGGGGAAGGGCGGGAACGGAGGGGGAAGGGAGGCCGTGGGAAAGCGTGTCCTTCAGGGAGCGAGGCGGGTGGCCTTGGTGGTGTGACCGAGGACAGGAGAGCAAATCATGTGTCCAAACCAAAGGAACTGGAATGATACATCTAACTTTAAGTTTTTAATAAAGGAAGCAGAAATACAAATGTCTATGGTGAACGTATTCATTTCTGTCTTCGCGTGGAAACCGCTCTCAGAGTGCTGGCACCAAGCCTCCGTGGTTTAAAGAAGCAGAAAAACAGCATTCGAAATATTTCTTCCAAAGCATCAAACTCTTAATATGACTTGGCATGTTAGTTTTGAGGTTTCTCTTTAGGAATTCTGTGATGAAAACATGTCACAAATGCACCCTTTGGGCACACAGTGGTCAGAAACCTGCACGTATGCTCAGATAGATTTGGGTGTTTTGAACACAGAAGTCAATAACTGTCAGTTTGTGATCTCTCCCACGTGGGCACTGATGGGGAAGTGGGGGCGGGAAGTACACAGAAACTTAGGAGAATCCTGGCATTTTGGTCACAAGATATAATTAGACCCCAAACTAAAAGAATCAAGGCATGTAAATATGCTGACTCAGGCATCCTAAAAATGTTTTTCCTCTCTGCACTTATTTATAGATAAGGCTTTACTATATTTGGTAAAATTTTTTCTATCTACTGACTTCTCCGAAAGCAAATTCACGTTGAACCACAGTTAAAAATATTACAGATTGGAGATCATGTCTTCCCCTAATCAGCCCTAAGTGGTTATTGAGCCTGAGACAATACTCTGTGTGAACTCTCAGCATGTCAGTGTTTCTGTGCCCTGACGTGAGTGTGGAAGTCTGCTGCATTCTGACAAAGAGGGTGTGTGTCTGTGCACAGGACGTGCGACACACAGACAGCCAGGTCTGAGCTGGTCGGAGCGTTCTGTGCCATTTTAAAACAAGTGGCCGCCCGGGTTGCCCAAGCGGTCGAGCCAGCAAACAGTCCTGAGCTAAAATAGTGTTTGTGACCTGGAGTTGCAGCTGGAACCCGAAACCTTTCTCTGGTGCACCTGGCTGCTGTCCAGTAATTTTTGGGCCTCTCTGCAACCCTGGCATCAACTGGATGCCCCAACTGCCCCGCCCTCTGAGAGAATCCTTGCTAATCCCTGATGCCCAGATAGAAGTGCCTTCTGCACTTGGACTCCTTCTATCCAACAAAGACAGCTGCTGTTACAAACACTCCTCTGACCGTGGGGGTGGCCTCCGGCAGGCCAGTCACTGTTTCCCACACCAGAGGCCTCAGCCTAGAGGCCGCGAGGAGGGTCTCGTCAGGGCCTGCGCTCCTCTCTGGGTCGGGTCGAGGGAAGAGGAACGGTGTGCGGGAAAACGGGTTGGCTCAGTTGAGAACCAGCCCCAGCCGTGGGGCTGCAGGTGCAAACGGATTCTCCGAAGGACCGAAGGACCGTTGGTGAGAAGCCGGGAGGCCGCAGCGGAGCCTGCTCCTGCTCCGGGATTTGAATGGCAGCCGTGGGATGTGAGCCCTGGGTCCCAGTCCTCAGCAATGCTAAATCCTAAGGAGTTTTCATTCTCCATAGAATGCCCCCCCACCCCACCGTCTTCCCGGACCTGTGAAAAATGTGTGAAACCTGCAAACAGTTAATGTTCTTTCAAGAGGCCTTTCAAGAGGCCCTTATCTGTGGGCTGCAGAGTGCCGAGGAACCGATCTGTGCTCTCCTCTGCTGCTAAAGGTTTACCCCCGAAACAGTCCTGTCCCTGTTCTTCAGACGGGTTTGTGTGCGTGCCTTCCTTCGGACCTCCCCCACCCCGAACCCCAGGATGAGGGCTCTCGGACAGTTTGGTCCCCAAACTAGGTTCTCCGCCCAGTACCTGTGTGTGACCTCTTTTGGACAGACTGGAGCCCCTCAGGTCCCTCTAGAAGCTTGCTTGCCGTCACAAGCACTTCCGGACGTTTTACTGCCAAGCCATAACAGCACCAGCAAGCCCCACAGAAAAAGATTCCTGAACTGCCTTCACTGGCTCTGCCTGTGAGTGTATTAGCGACAGATGCAATTTTTGTGCTTTGTGGAACTGAAATGACAGTCTCAATCTAAAAACCCAATGAGAAAAATGGAAACCACAGCTCTTCATTCCTGAAAGTTACATTTCCTTTCGTCCCCCAGCTCTTTGGCATTGAGGCCCCAGCACCGGGCCTCTGCCGGTTCCATGGGGAACTTTGTTTCATTCTGAGGAAAACAGCCCGGGCCCTGCCTCCTATGAGGCAGTGTTAAGAATGAAGGGGCGATCGTAAAATGTGTTCAGACTTGATTAAAGGGGAGAAAAGAGCAGTCCACTTTCCCCAAGCTGTCAGTTTCAGCTCCTGCCTTGTGTGTTTCTCTTCTCCAGCAGCAGATAGTTCCGGTAACTCACACTGTTTGTTCCTGCATTCTAGCAACTTCGGAGACAGTGCCTAGACCACAGAACAGAAAAGCAGGGGGCCAGTGCTGTTCCGGGTCAGACCTGTTAGGAAAATTTATCTGCTCGCAGCAGTTTATGGCCCCCTCTGATAATCACCGCGTTTGCAGCCAGATGAGCGCCTGGGCAGTTTTATTATTTTCCTTGAATGATGGCTGCGATGTGGTGCCAAGGCCTTAAATACTCCCTACGATGAGTCAGAATTCCCCTTGATGCTTCCACCTTTGAGCCTTAGTAATTTAATGTGTCAGAATTAAGCCCGACGATCGTGGGAACCCATTGCTGCAGCCTACTCCTGCAGTTCATCCAGCAAGGGAAGAGGAATTCAGAGGGGCAGGAGGTTGCGAATGAGATGAGACATACGTTATCTTTTGCAGGAAATATTGGAGGATTTTAAATGTTTTTCTGCTTTTGTGGCCTGGAAAATTCCATCCGTTAATTCCAACTTTCAACTTTTTTTTTAAACATTTTATTTACTTTTAGAGAGGGAAGGGAGGGAGATAGAGAGAGAGAAACATCAATGTGCGGTTGCTGGGGGTCATGACCTGCAACCCAGGCATGTACCCTGACTGGGAATCGAACCTGCAACACTTTGGTTCACAGCCCGTGCTCAATCTGTTGTGGAAAATCCACCCACACTCGGGGAGATAATGAAGCACAAACTTTATTACCCAGGGGCCCAGAGGGGGTGGTTAACATCCAAATCCTCTGAGCACCGATCCTCACTCTCCCGGGGTTTAAATAGTCCCGGGCTTCCTACCTACGTGGCAAAGCAAGGTTACAGAAGCCGAATGTGAAAGTTAGGTCCAGCTACCTTATTTGGGAGACAAAGAGAAAACGCAGGAGGAATTTGCAGAAGCTACAGAGCACAGGAGCTTATCATGGGAGTCTGTGTACGACCTTGAGTAACTGGCCATTGCTTTGGTTACGACTTGTCAGCTTCTACAGTCCTGTGTGAAATTTTGCAAGTGTTATAGTTACAGAGCATAAGAAACTTTTGGAGTTTTCTTTTCCTGCTACAAATCCACTGAGCTACGCCAGCCAGGGCCCAGCTTGCAACTTTTTGAAAGCATAGCCTACTGAGATATAGTTAGCTGTTACCCAATTTCAGTGAGCCAGAGTTTCAAAGAATTTTAATGAAGGCTGTTACAAACTATATTGTAAAGAAAAAGAAAAAGGTAAGGGGGTCACTTTGCATAGACCTCCCTTGCTAAAACTAGAGACCAGGAGAATTTTGCATTAAAAGCCTTGAGAAGGGGCGCTATGGCAGGCCAGCCCTTGCAAGCGCACGGTGGCAGGGCGCCGCTTGTCGCCGTGGGTTCAGTGCAGCGCTAAGCGCGTGCGTCAGTCCAGGCGGCGAGATAGTCCCGCAGGTTCACCTTCACGCCACGCACTGCGGCTCAGTTCGCACCTGCTGCCGGCTGGCTAGGGACAGGACCAGCAGTGGCCTCTGACTTGAAGGGTTTTTTTTTTTTTTTGCTTCTGTTAAAAATCACCACGTCGTATTTCAAAATCATTCCGTCTTGAGAAACTTGGAGCTTTTCCTGAGAAGCCCCTGCCTTACCCCGCAAGGCCGGTAGGGGGCGCTCGTCTGTTTTACTTAGGAGGCTGGGCAGCCCAAGCAGAGAGATGCTGTCCCTGCCAGGAGGCATGGTGTCCGGGAACTAACGTTTGCCCGACTCCACCAGGTGCTCTCAGTTCCCGCCCAAGGCCTGCTGTCACTCTAGGGAATGGCTAACGCTCCCTTTTCTAATGTCACAGCCACAGCAGATCAGAAGCAGTACATTTCAAAAGGTTAAGGCTAAAAGCAGGAAGAAGCAACGACTAACAGGTTACCAGGAGATTCTAAGAATTAGGAGGCAGACATTCTGGGGCTTGTTTTTAAAGCAGCTTTCTGGGAATACTGGATGCAAGCGGGGGCCGCCAGCCTGCACGGCGCACTCCCTGAGCGTGGGAGCCCCGACGATCACGTCCAGTCACCGAGGAAAGGAAGTTGTATTTCACATGCTCTGGGCCGGAAGCCAAGGAAATGGCATACGTATAGGATTGCCAACAAAATTATACACACGCGGGGCTTCGGGAGGTTATGTTAAGAAAAAAAGAAACCTGAGGGATACGTTCTTCCCTAACTACGCCAGATAAGCAGTCCTGTTCCGCCTCTTTGTGGACTTCACGCCGGTCTGCCGCTGCGCGCACCCTAGAAACTCTTCACTGGGCGGTAAGGGACCCAATGACACCGGCCTGCAGTCGGGTTTTTCTAAGCCGCGTGAACCAAACGCTGGGCTTGGGAGCACCCAGCTGGCTTTCTGCCTGGCGACGGCCACCCACAAAGCAGCCCTGGGATCGCCGATGCGCCGTTTCACCCGCGATGAAACAATTTGGAGGCATTCAAGAACATAGCCAGCCCCATCTCACCGCTGTCGGGGACCAGACCCCTTCGGGAGCTCGTTTGTATCACAGTTTCATTGTTTTATGTCGCCCCCTCCCCGGACCGGCAGCGTGTAGTTCAACCGAGTTCTTTTCTGCCCCTGGCCCTTGGCGCTACACCTGGTACTTGGTGTGTGCTCCGTGAGTAATTCTTGAATGGAGAACAACAGGTAGCAGGGTGACCATGCAGGGCGGGATCTCAGAAATCCCAGCGTGTGGGACACACTTATGCCTGTGCCGCAGGAGGGGGGAGGCGGCCGCCGTGGAGCATCCACCCGCTCTGTGCTGAGTGGGCGCTCCGGACACCCCCTCCCAAGGGCCTCGCAGTCGTGACAGGGGCAGGGACAGATGCAAGAACGTCACGAGGGCTGGAGGAGAGTGGCAGCGGGGCTCTGAGTACTGAGGGCAGCACCCCGGGGAGCAGGGGAAGCTTTACCTGGACGTCAGGAAAGGGACAGGAGCTGCCGCCACCTGAAAGGGAAGTGCCCCGGAAGAAGAGGGAACAGCCAGGGCAGAGGCCTGCGCTGCAGACCCGTGGGCAGGGCGGAGGGCCTTGGGACTTGGTCTGTGGGATGAGAGAGGGGCACGGGAGGGTGTAAGGCATCAGTTTTTGAGGGATGAGCCCCATGGGACGGTTGCAGGGGACCCAGAGGCCGTGAGACCGACCAACAGGCAGGCCAGAGCCAGTCGGGAGGCCAGGATCCAACTGCTGCTGGTCTCCGGCTGGCGTGGCGCAGGTGTCCAGGCTTCAGAGGCCAGACTGACAGCACTTGGCAACTGGCTGGATGTGGGGAGGTGGCGGGGAGAGGAGGGAGGAACTCGGGCTTGTCTCCAGGTGCCTGGCTTAGAGGCTGCTGGCCCCTACCTGCGGAGGCAGGGCAGACAGGAAGGAGCGTGGAGGGGAGAGTCGGGAATTGCTCTCGGACACTCAGTTCCGAGGAAGGTGAGACGGCATAAGTCATCAGATGACAGCTGAGCGCCCGGAGGAGAGGACTCGGACCATCGCGTCTCCAGGCCCGGACCTGGCGATGGAAGAGGCTGGGGCAGGGAGAGCAAGAAGGAGGCAAACAGGGAAGAACCCTGGGGCGTGTGTGCTGCAGGGAAGGCCGAGAGGGGCAGGATGGGGGGCAGGAGCAGGAGCTCCCAGGAGAGGCCCTGATCCCCAGCGGACGTCAGAAGTCACCGGGCGGGGGTGGGGGGGGAGGGGGCGGGGAGGGCCAGGCAAGGACACGACCAGCATATCTCCTGGATTAGGCAAGGCCCGTACCCAGGGCTGCGGGCTGACGCAATCAGACCTGGACCCTGGCAGGGTCTCTGGCCGGGAAGGAGTGGCCTAGTGAATTGTACGGTGTCTTCTGGCTGACGTGTGCACGCGCACGTGTGTGTGCACATGTTTGTTTCAGGCCATCTTAGAGTTTGTACGCTGAGTGCACAGGGCCCAGTCCTTTTGCCCAGATTCACCGGAGACACAAATAAACATTTCAGTTTGGATGACGAAAGAGCCCGGGTTGCTGAAGCGGTGAACTGATCCCACTGGCACGGGGCCAGCAAGGACCTTTTGGACACCCAAGGTCACCGGGATGAGTGTGCTACCTTATCTGCTGCCTGGCTACAGGGGCTGCTTTTGTGTGCTGAACCCAGCTTTTTAACGAGCCGGGAGGTACCTTTGTGGCGCCTGCCATTTCTTCCCTGCCCACCAGCCCTGCAGCATCAGAAAGGACACTTAGGATTCACGCTCTGTGAGACTCTGCCCAGGTGCCGCAGCTCTCGGGGGACCTGCAGCAGGCACTTTGGGGAGCGTCCGGCCTGCGTGTCTGGGGCCCGTGGTCTGCAGCAGGAGTTGAGGGTTTTGTGGACGGAGGCTTCTGCGGTGAACCGGCCTTCTCTGCACTGGGCGCATCGTCAGTCATACAGAGCTGTCACCCAGAGCAGCAGTCCGCGCACAGACGCAGGGACACATTTGACAGGAGCTTCTGCCGCTCCCACAAGGGGGTCAGCTGTGCCCCAGGTGTGGGCTTCCCCAAAGAGTAGAGCCCCCTTGCTCGCATGGTGATGGCGGGGTTGGCCCAGATGCCCAGCACGGGTTCCGCTGCCCCAACTCAGGTGCCGAGGCCGGGCCTCTGCCTGCCAGTCTGCCAGGCGGGGCTCGGCGGAGCCTCCCCCCGCTTCCTGGGCGTGCTGCCTATCACACAGCGTTGCTAATATTATCACATGTGCAGGGCAGCCAAGTCCGTGCCCAGAGCAGGCAAGAACACTCCTGCAGATTCCAAAAACATGTCTCCAGGGAGCCCAACAAGACAGGGTTTCCCTCTGCGCAGGGGACAGGGCCCACCCAGTGCGGCCAGCTGGGGAACACGTGTCCCCGGGGGGAGGGAGACCACGAGGAGATTCCCATCCACTGAGCGTCCGGTTCCGCCGACCCACAGCAGGGTTGGCCGCCCAGCCGTTATCAAGGCTGCATTCCGGTTTCAAAACAAAAGTAAACAAGCCGGGCTCCTAACACGCTACTGTTTAGACCCAAAGGATGAAGCTGGAAGGGCAGGCAGCAGTCCGGGCGCTGGCTGAGGAGCCCTCTCGGGGCTCACGTGTTGTTCGGTAACCAAGGAAGTCGCTGAGCGCGGAGGCGACTTCCCCGGTACAGTACGCGGCAATTCAGAGAACACAAAACCGCATTCCTTATCTGCAGAGGCTCAGCCGGCCCTGTCGTTCTGTCTGTGCAGCCCTGACACTCCCCCTGCCGCGGGCGCAGGTCCTGGGCACGCCCGGGATGGGCGGGGGGTGGGGGCTCAGCCCTGCTGCGCACACCGCCCCCCACCCCCGCCTTCTCGGCTGCTGCTCTCTCACCACAGAGGTCCCACTTGCCACTAAAGCTGGTGCTGCTCTTTGCAAAGAACTTTTTTTTTTCCCCATCATAACCTTGACCATTAAGATCTCATCATATTAACGAAGTGGGAGCTTAACGCTTTGGGTTCAGCGTAGCTCTGTGTGAAGCCGGAACCGAAGGAACAGACTGCGGTTCCCCCCTGACCAGGGAATGGTCCTCCACTCTCGCTGCCAGCCAGGCAGGACGCATGCACAGTGACTGAGAGTGTGGGCTGAGGCCAGCGGTGCCTGGGGTTGTGCGTGGGCTCAGTCACGTGATAGCCGCGTGACAACACGTAAGCCTTTATTTACCCTCTCTGTCCCCTCACTTGTTAAAACAAGATAGTAATTATAACTAACCTGGAGGTGCTGATGAGGGTTACACACAAGCAAAGGCTGACGGCAGTACCTGGCATGAGTAACCCTTTAATGTAACGAAGCATCGTTATTCTCCATCATGCTTCCAAGTGTAGCTCACGTCTCACCTTATCCAGAATACCTCTCCCCGAACGCTCCAGCCTCCGCCCCTCCCTCCCGTTTCGGGCTCCTCTGTAAGCGTCACTTTTGTGCCGTGCAGTCCAGCATCTGCAGCTGGCTTTCCTCGGACTTTAAAAAAACTCATGGCCCGATCCGGGGCAATGACCGGGGTATGTTCACCACCACAAGTAAGTGGGCAAAAGCTGGCGGCGTGGCATCGCCTAGGAGTGCTCTGACTGGCAGTTGCCACGTGGAGTGTGAACACTCGCCCGGACACGGAAACCCGAACCGAGTGTTTACCGCACCTTCCAGCCCCCCCCCGGAAACAGCCCAGGGGGCCTTCAACATGTGAGTGGGTAGGCAGTGGTCCAGCCGCACCGTGGACATACCTTAGCAGCACAAGGCGTGAGCCCCTGACACGCAGAACCACCTGGAGGCATCTCCAGTGAATTATGCTGGGGTTAGCGTGTCACCCGAAGTTAACATACTTTATGATTCCAACGACTAAAGCACCTTGAAATAGCGAGAGTGTGGGAATGAGGACAGGTTCATGGTTGCCAGGGCGGAAGGAGGGGGCGAGGGCAGGAGGAGGGCAGCCCGGGAGGCCCGTGGTGGTGGCCGTGCTCTGCATCCTGCTGGTGTCAGCGTCCGTCTATATCCTCTTTGTGACCTTGTTCCCGTGGTCATGCAACAGTTGCCACTGGAGGAAACTGGGTAAAAGGTACAGGGGGCCTCTCTGCGTCCCTTATTACCACTGCAGAATCGACAGTGATCTCAAGTGTTCATTTTAAACAAAACCGCTTCAGGTGTTCTCAGCAGAAGCTGGAAGAGTGGACGGGATTCCCCGCTCATGGGGAAAGATGGCAAACCCCTTGTAGAGGGCTTTACTTCTTGAAACAAAGCGTGTCAATTGTACCTGAACATTTTCGAGTTTGTTGTACTTATTCCTTGGAGTGAAATAATGGCAGTGTGAAGTCATATTAAATGACGGTGTTGTCTACTACAGCGATTTTCAACCCGTGTGCTGCAGGGACTTTTAAAGCACGCCACACCTGACTTCTTTATTCAGGGACACTGACCCCTTTTCCCTGAGATTGTCAAATAAAAAAGTGACAACCGCCAACACAACAGCCATTCAGTGTGAATGAATACAAATTGGACCTATGTTTTGTCAGATTGGCAAAAAATATATTTTTGGTGTGCCACAGAATTTTAGTAATTAGTTTATTATGTGTGCCGTGAGACAAAAAAAGGTTGAAAATCGCTGGTCTAACACATTAAGATTCACACTGTTTTTTCAACTGGGGAAAGTACAGTAACTTCAAGATGATCTTTTCGTCTCTCTTTAAAAATTTAATTATTTATTTTTAGAAAGAGGGGATGGGACAGAGAACAGGAGAGAGACATCAGCAGGGGTCGAACCCGAAACCCAGGCCCGTGCCCTGACCAGGAATCAAACGGCAACCTTTCACTTTGGGGGCCGATGCCCAGCGCACTGAGCCACGCCAGACCCAGCCGGGGCAGGGGCGATCCTTTCTGATTGGCTCACTTGGAACTCAGAGGCTCGCAGATAATGAACAGTGCTGACAAGAGCCAGAACCCAACACCCAGGACCTAGTCCTGTGCTTCTGATACACTGCAGCACTATCAGTGTGTCTAGAGGGAAATCCTGAGTTACTCTGGTTCCCAGGCTTAGTTCTTGAGATGACGCATTGCCATCCAGCAGGGGTGCCCCTGCTCGGTCACTGGGTGGGCGGCAGCTGCTGGCGCGGAGGGCCACCGGTCCAGGGGAGTGCACAAACCAGGCAGGTGCGTGGGCTCATCCTTGAAGCCCATTGTAGGACCTGAGTGGGAAGGGACAGACTGACACTTGGAGAGCTGGCAAGAAAGAATGAAAGAAAAAGAGGGAGGGAGGGAGGGAGGAAAGTCAAGAGCAGACCAAGGCAACAGCCAGATCCCCAGCTCAGATCTGGGCTTCTCTGACGGGGCGCCCCAGCAATGGCCACCCCAGGGTGAGGTTTTCATTTCCGGTTAGCCAACGGCGCTAATTTATTTCATCACTAAGGGGGAAGCCGGTCTAGGACAGAGACATGGGAACACAGTTTTCCAGAACACCGATGACCGCCCTGGGACTCTGGGCAGGGTCCCCCCTGATGCCCTCTTGCCTTCAAGCAGCAGGAGGTTGGATGGCAGTGGAGGTAGCCCAGCTTTCGTTCTGACCTTTCTGTGGAGACCGAGCGCACAAACAGCTAGAATCAGGTCTGCAAAATAATCAGATTCCTACCGAACACTGTTGAAGCTAGCTAACCAGCTACAAATGCGAAACAGACCAGAATGGTTTCCCTAGCTTATTAAATTGGCCCCTGCCTCTCTGTGCGCGGTGGAGATGCTGGCTGCGGGGAAGAGATGTGGGGGAAGCAGAGTAAAAATTCTGCTTTTTGGGAGACCTTTTGCACGTTGCACAAATAGCTCCCACTGCCAGATGAGTCAGAATTTCCGAATGGCATAATTTTAGGACCTTCTTGTGGTTCCCTCTCTGGGCCACTTCTGAAAGGGAGGCCCTGGGGTGGGGTTTCCTGTGCTCGATTCCACAGATGACAGAGGGGCTCCCCACCTCCTCTGCCAGGATTTTCTCCCAGATGTGTTTTCCTTTCCACTCCTTTTTCTGGCAGCAAGGAATGCTGCTGCCGAACTGAAAGTCTTTATGGTCCTCCCGGCTGCGAACCACGCCCCCTCTCCCTCCCCGGCCCCAACCCCACTCTCCCCAGTTGCTCCCTCTACTTTTTCCTTCCATACGAACTATTTTGCAGTGACAGAAGGTGGCCATGTCATTGACAAAGAGCAAGTCCAATTTTCAGGTCAAGCTTAAGAAAAACAAATGTTCTGAAAAGCATCCAGCCCTGTAAAACCAAAGATAATGATAAGAGCAATAAAGCTAGAAATATCTGCACACTCTCCTGTAGCTTATAAAATAATTTCATCCTGTGTATTCTCACCTGTGAACTCTCATTGCTATCCCTCTTGAACAGATGAGAAAACCAAGGTTCTAAGAGGTCACATGGCTTGCTAAGGTCCACGCAGTTAAGCATCAGGGCTGGGCCTGGACTTTGGGTCTCTGAGGCCTGAAACCAGTGCTCACGGCCACGGGAACAGCGAGAGGGACCGTTCAGCTCCCAGCACCAACACCGCCCTGTGCGGGTTCCAGTCCCTCGGACACAGACTCACTGCACTATGGCCTTCTGGGGACGACAGTCCGTGCCGCATTCCTCTCCATATTCCCGGGGGCTAGCACGTAGTAGGTGCCCAGGAAATGTCGGGTGAAAGTCTGAATAGCTGGCTGTGTGCCAGACACTGTAGGCATCACGCTGTACCCAGAACAGCTCACGAAACCACTGAAGACAGGTTCCCATTATCACACCTGTTCAACAGGAGAGGAAACCGAGAGTGAATAATGATCTCAGAGTTGCACACTCCAGCAGTCTGACAGCAGAGCCTGCGCTCTGTCCTCCCAACCGCACAGATCTAGAACTGGCCCAGGGCAAGGCGGGGAAAGGCCTTTTGTGTGTATTGCCTATGAGCCTCGGAATAACTATAACTTAATTAATGGGTAATCAAGTCGGAGGTCTGGCTGACCCTGGCATGTTAACACAAGCCAGGTCTACCCCGTGATAACTCCAGGCTCTTCCTACCTTCCTCCGGTGTGGAAAGGACACACACACACACACACACACACACACACACCCCGCCTGTCTTACACGTGGCTCTTTCCTTCAGGACACTGATTTCTACTCTGATCTACTCCACACACCTCCGTAGAGGGCCCGCCAGCCTCAGGAAGAAGTGACAGAGGAAAACACCCTCTGGGAAGCATTAGACATGGGCCAGTGACTTCACTCCGAGAGCCCAGCCTCCTACTCCCCGTCTTCCAAACACGGGCAGCCACACCTGAGTTGTGAAGACAAGTCCGCCTGGTGCTTAGTTCTACAAAGCTGGGCTCCTCCTTAGGCGGCGGAACCAATCGTGCAAACGTGTCATTACCGGGACAGAGACCAGGGCTGGGGCAGAGGACCGTTCAAAGGGCTCGAAAGCGCTGGGAGCGCCAGGGCCCAGGGGCAGATGAGGGTTAGAGTCCCTCTGCGGCGAGGGGAGGGGGTGGGTGTAGTCCGAGTCTCCCACCGAGCTAGCTGACCGGTGAGGGAGGGGGTGCGGGGGAGGGAGGGAGGCACTTTATGGGCTTTAGGTTTGTGGGAGGTTCGGGTTAGGCGTGGGGCTCACATTCTTCGTGGCTCATTCCCAGTCGCCTCCGTTCCTCCGCGTCCGGGGGGCTGCCACCCGAGCCTGGGGCCCAGAGATCCCGCGTGTGGTGGCCCCGGGGACTGTGGGGTCGGGGGGGGGGGCCGGATGGCGCTCCCTCACTGTCAGGCTGACCGAGGGGTGTCACTTCCTCCTTGGATTCGCGCCTCCGGGAAGGGTGCCCCCTGCCTTTGCCCCCAGCCGGGCTCCGAGAGGGCGACCCCGCCAGTCCCCCAGCCTTCTCCCCAAGTCTGCACTCGCACAGGAACTCCCTCCCCGGATTCAAATGTCCCCGGGAGAGCTTCGCGCCGACCCGAGGATGAGACCCGGGCGGAGGCACGCGGGGGGCGTCGGGGGGCTGCGGGCGGCTGCGGGACTGGAGACGGCAGCCCTGCGCGCGGGACGGGGAGTAGGATGGGGAGCAGCCCACCCGCGCTCCCTCCGCCCGGGGGCTCGGATACAGAGCGCCCTCTGGGCTGGGCCCGCGCCCCCACGCCTCCGCCGAGCGCCCGGAGTCCGGCGCGTCTTCGCTGGGCCCCGTGAGGTGCCCGGTGCTCCCGTGTCCCGTGTCCCGTCCTCTGGCCCACTGGGCGGGGCGGGGCGGGGCGGGGGCCGGAGTGGGGGGGCCCCGCCCCAGCCCCGCCCCGCCCCGCCCCGCGCCGGAGCCGCCCAGGACGCTGGGGGCGGAGGGCGGCTCCGCGCGAACTGCCCGCAGCTCTGCGCGAAGTGCCCGAGGCGCCCGCTCCTGCACGCCCTGGGCCGGGTAAGTGGGGCGCGGCCGGGGGACCGGGCGGGGGGGCCGGTGGGGTCGGGGCCTCAGCCCCTGGCCCAGCCCTGACGCGTCTCCCGGGGATCAGGGTCCCCGAAAGTCGAGGGGACCAGAGGAAGCGTGCCCGGCGCGGGGGCGGAGGCCCTGGCATGACAGCTGCCGGCGGGCGGGTATTTTTAGTTTAAACCCGGCCGTTCCCTGCCGCCCGCGGAGTCCCAGAGTGCTTCCGCTCCCCGGCCCTGGAGGTTCAGCCCCCGAGGAAAAGCCCCAAACCCGGGGCAGCGCGTCCGCGGCCGCGGCGGGCCAGGCGCCGCCTCCGATCTTAGCTCTGCCTCCGCCGCCGGGGCAGTCGGACCTGTCACCGCGGGCTCCCGCGGGCCGTAAACGCGGGCAGAAATCCCCGCTCCTGGCCACCGCGAGCTAGCCCAGCGCCCCGCGTCGGGAGGGAGCGTCAGACCCCGCGGGCGCCGTTCCCCTCAGACCCCTCCTGGCTGCGCAGCTTTGGGGGAGCCGCTCACCTTCTCCGGGCCCCGAGCCGCAGCTCTGAAGGAGGAGGTGGTGAGGCAAAGATCTCCCCCCACACCGCGCGGCCCGAAGGAGCCCCCACGGGGATGCTGCCTCCACGCAGGGCCTTCCCGTCCTGACTTCAAACCCTGGTGGATCTGCTGGATGCGGCCCAGTGCTCAGCCCAGGAGCAGTGGGTGCTGCCCGCAGCCCAGCTGGTCTCTGCTCCAAAACTCTAAGGCCGGGGACTCCATCCGGGCTGGGGCGACAAGGAACGTTATTCTTTTACTTCTTTGCCCTGAAGCTCCAGCCCGGGGCTGCCTAGGGACTCTCTCCCAGGTTCCCGGTCTCCTTCACCTCGGAAGGGCTGACTTCCTCAGGCACTAATTAGGGCTGCCAGTGGGAGGGGGCACCCACGTGGCCAGGAGTCATGCCCCGTCCCCCGGAATGAGGCAGTGGCGGAAAGTACCTGTCCTCCCAGGAAGGGGAGCATGCCACACCAATCCCCGTCCTCCTGAACTTGGCGGGACACCCTCCCGCAGCCACTGGGGGGACAGGAAACAGGCCCAGAGAGAGGGAGTGCCATGCTCAGGGCCCGGCCCTGGAGGGCCGGGCCCTGCCTCCCGCACAGCTGGGCCGGCCAACAGGCCCCAGGGCTCGGGAGCTGGAAGGCCGAGGGGCGCCCGTGCCAGCAGGCTGTTTTGCTCCGTTTTCCTGTAGCCGTGCCCCGGCCAGCGGGGCTCTCTGACACGTGGGGTTCTGCACATTCCTCAGGCAGGGCCGCCCGGGGCAGGCCGGCAGCCACAGCTGTGCCAAGCCCGCGGCGGCCCCGGACAGAGCATTCTCCTCCACCCGAGGGGCCCCTCGGAGGGCAGCTGGGGCAGGGAGTGGGCCGGGGAGGCTGACTTCAGGAACTCCTGCCTTGCTAGGGGTCCTCAGGGGAAGTCCCGAGGATTTCCTGGTGACCCCAAGGGGAGGGGAGTGGTGAGGCTGAGTTCAGGTTTCTGCCTCAGGGTGCAGGCTGGTTGGCCCCAGGCCCAGCTGGCACCTCCAGGGTGAGTGAGAGTACCTTCTGTCTCCATGGGAACGACTCCCAAGCCCAGGCACTTTGCATGTGGTCCCAAAGCTGTGGACTTGCTGTGCCTGGGCAGTCCCTCCACCTTGTTAGGCTGGAATCCCGGGACGGGGGCTTCTGGGAGGGCCTGGCTCAGCTGCAGGGCCACGTCCCCTCTGGGGAGGCGACAGTGGGCAGGCCAGCACAGCCCCCAGAGCCCCTGGGAGTCCCTGGGCGTCCAGAGGGCACAGGGCCCCCCACTGACCAGCTGTTGGATGGGGGTGGCTAAGGCAGAGTACCCGCGTCCAGTCCTGCCGCAGCCCTTTCCTAGCCGCACGACCCCGGGGACATCGCTCTGCCTTTCAGAGCTTCGACGTCCTTCCCCACGAGAGGGGGCAGCCGTGGCCTCTGTGCCGCGGGGTGCCGGGTGCCTGGACAGCACAGTCCGCCGACAGCTTGTGTGCCGTGTCAGGCAGCTCCTGCAAGCCATTGTCACCGTCCGGGGCGACGCAGCCTGGCAGGGACACCGGAGTTCCTTTCCCTTTGACGTTTGCACACCTGTCTGCTGGGGAGTGGCCCCGCGTCACGGCCCGCAGAGCCCTTCCGGCCCAGGAAGCGGACCCTTGACCCTGGCAGAGACGTCCGAGGGCCCTGAGGAGGGCTCCTGGTGGCTGTGGGCTCCTTCGCCGCGTCTCCTGTCTCTCGCCTCCATGATTCTGACGCCAGCGGGCAGGGCTGCCATCGCGGGCCCACTGACAGATGCGGAGTGCGGTGCAGAGGCAGGTGTGGTGGGGGCGGGGCTGGCGCTCTGGGGCCCGTCGTCACACCACAGGGCTGCCCCAGAGGATTCACGGACAGCGTCACACGCCAGTCATGGGGGGGGGGGGCAGTATTGACCAGGCAGGATCTGGGTCGTCGTCACCGCATTGACATTTCCTGGAAACCATGGATTCCAAACATTCCCCATTCCCCCCGGCCCCGCCGTAAACATCTGAAAGTAGCCAGGAGTCACCAAAAGGGGATCCCTGGGCGGAGCAGTTGGGCGTCAGGGGAGTGTCTGCTGACCCCCCTGCCCCACCTCCCGACACAGACCCTGAGGATCTTTGCGTTCGGACCTGGGGATGGTGCTGCCCGGGGCGAGCAGCTCGGGAGCAGGTAGTGGCAGTCCTGGCAGCTGAAGCCTTGATCTTGTCACCTCTAAAGCGGAGATAAGAGGCCCCAACACCCCCTGTGGGCTGCTGAGAGGACAAATGAGACAACTGGGGACAGTGCTCAGCAGGACGCCCAGCGTGGCAGGGACAGGCCATGGACAGGTGTCGTCATCGTGGTTGTTGCTGTTCCTAATCCTCCCCGTGGGGTTGTAACAACTGTGACAACACGGAGCGGCCCGCGCCTCTCGCCTGGATGCCCAGGCTGCGGACCGGGGAAGGGAAGGGAAGGGAAGGCAGTCCCAGCGTCTCCGAATGCTCGGACAGACACGGCAGGGAGCTGCTAAGGGAACGATGAGGCTCGGTCCCTCAGTAGCGTGTCATGTAGTGAGACGTGTGTGCGGAGGGAAATGATGGCCAAACGAGGAAGAGGCCCCTTAGAAGTCCGAGTCACCGTGGCGGGGGCGGGGAGGAGCCTGGGCTGGCGGCGTCGTGGGGGGTGGTTGCTGAGGAATTCACCTTGCAATTATGTATTAGTACACCTGTGTGTGTGCACGCCTCTACCTGTAGATCCTACTTCTCAGACTCAAGCAGGTTTTAACGAAGGGCAAGTGAATGGCCATGCAAGATTGGGGTGCTGTCTCTGGTGGGCGGGAGGGGTGGGCATCAACGGGAAGCCTGGTCCAGGTCAGGGGGCTCCACCGTGCTGTGTCTCTTTGCGTGGTGGGCTCGTGGGTCTTGTTCTAAAATATCCTCATGCTTCATCATTTACAAGTAGGAAATATATGTATACACATTACACACAATGTTCATAAACATTATGTATTCCATTATATACGATGTTTATAAGCATTACTTATACTCCACTATATAGAATGTTTAGAAAAATTGTACATATGCCATCACATGCAAAGTTTATAAACATTATGTATATTTCACTATATGTAATATATATAAACATTGTATGTATTCCATGACACATGTATACCACATCTTACAGATACAATTAGGAGGTGATGTGGAGTGTGGTCACAAAGCTCTCTCAGAAAATCAGGTTCTCCCCACGGATTCAGACATTAATCTGGCCGGATTTAAAAACTCGAAGAAACAAATCCTGCTGTCTGACAGATCATTCATTCGGGAGAAGTACCGTGACCTCCCTCTCCCGGCGTCGAACAACACGAAGGTGTTGACACCCGAGAGCTCGGATTCGCCACAGGATGTTTTCTAAGTCCTAGCCTAATGATTTATGCCTCTGGATCCGACCATTCTGGCATGTGCGAGCTGGGAGGAACCTCGGGCCTCCTGGCCCACTCCGAGGGTTTTATGCAGAGGGAGGTGGCCGGGCCAAGGACAGCAGGAGGCCCCCAAGTAGGGAAGACAGTCCCTTCTGGGCTGCCACACCTGGTGAGTCTCATCAGGACCCACCGTGTCCCTCCTGTGACCCGGGAGGGCCGTGGCTTCCTCCTCAGGCCGGGCAGGGACACAGGTGAGATACCTGAGATTAAATCGACGTGATCCTTTTACCTTTAAAAGGTCAGGAGAGGGGGCTACTGCCTGTGATGACGGCACACCTCCAGAATGTCCGTGAGCAGGAATGCGGTGAAAGGAACTCCATAGGTGGGGCCCGGAACCTCCTTTCCTACACAGGGCCCCTGGGGACAGGCACTGGCCCTCCCCCAGCTCTTTGCTGGGCAGGTGCGGTACATTTAAAAGTCACCAGGGTGACTCAGTTCCGTGGGGGTGGTTATGCCCGTTTTTCAGCTGGGGGAACAGGTTCAGAGAGGTTCAACGCCGTGCCCCGAATCACACAGCAGGCAAGTCTGCAGTAGGACCTGGGCGGGGACTGACAGGTGAGAAACCGTTTTACGTGAGCTCTGCTGGGAATACCTGCTTCACTCACCAGGAGCTGCAACTCAGCCTGGCGGGCCCGGGGACGTGCTGATGTTGAGGGTACTAGGGTGGCGTCCTCCCAGCTGTCACACTGCAGCAGACCCTTCAGGCCCACGGCTCCAGGTGCGATGCTCCCGTCCTGACCGAGCTGGCTCTGTCACATGGGCAGTGGTGCGCCAAGGACGGGGGCAGTCCATCCCTTTCTGGTCTCTGGTGCTTTCTGGGTTCGACTGCGTTCTCTCGGCCACCTTCTCTTTGCCCAAATCGGAAGTGTCCTTCCGGCCCGCCCTCCGCACAGGAGCCTGTCACAGGGCTCAGAGGGCTGTGGTCCCAGGACTGTGCCTCAGTGGGTGGCTTTGCCGATGCGAGGCGGGCACAGTGACAGCCTTTGTCCCCTGCGTGCGTGCTCACCAGGGCAGCGGAGCCCGGGGCCAGGTCCCAGCCCTGCTCTGTGTCCGGGGGCCAGTCGCAGCGCTGTGACCCGGCTCCCATCTGTCTGATGGGGCACAGTGACACCTCCCACAGGGGTGGTACCTCTTACACGAGGGCCCAGTGGGCTCAAGGACTTTCCGCAAGCAGGGAGCTCTCAGAGACTAGGAGACAGAGCCACCCTGCCCGTGCCTGGGGCAGCTGTGCGTGTGTGTGTGTGCAGGGTTCTAGAAGCGCTTGGAAGTGACAGCTGTGGGGGACAGGAGGAACGCCGGAACCAGCCGGGGACTGTGGGTCCGTCCAGCCTGAGCCCAGTGCTGGGCCTGCGGGGGGGGGGGGGGGTGGGGAGGGGTTGGGGGGGTGACTGAGTCTGCACAAGCAGAGGGTACCAGCCTCCGTCTCTCAGGTGCCTCTGGGCCCATCCGCGATTGGAGACTGCGCCTTCTGGTCCCCGGGCCAGTATCTTTTCCCTTAGAGCCACCTCCCTGAAAAGTCCGTGTCCTCAGCATTCAGGGTGTAGGGACGGACGCGGTGGACACGGGGTGGGGGCGCTGATCTTCAGGGCCAGACCCACTTGGGCGGCCCCAGGGCCTGGATGGGATGAGGGGACCCACCTCCGTTGCTGGTTAGGCGCTAATTAAACCAAGCGTTTTGTTCGAGATCTGAAAAGGGCCGCTCCCCAGTGGCATTTGCTGAAATAATACAGCCGGCTGACTCACCAGGGCAGCCTCTTTCCTGGTTGTTTCAAAGAGCGTGGCCTCTCCGTGGCGATGGGAGGAGCTCACCGTGTGACAGCCGCCTTTTGA